TTTTATTATTATTATTATTATTATTATTATTATTATTATTATTATTATTATTATTATTATTATTATTATTAATATTATTATTATTATTATTATTATTATTATTATTATTATTATTATTATTATTATTATTTACCTACAGTCAGAAACGAGTTCCCAGAAGGAGACCGTAAGTTGATAATGTTATTTCTTAAAGATAATTCAGATATATTAGCCCAATTAAACAACCATTTCGAAGAATACCTCCATCACAGCTAGAAGAAGTGAGAGAACATTTAAGAAAACTACTCGAACGAAATATTATTAGACCTAGTACCAGTGCCTTTGCATCATCAATTGTCCTGGTTAGAAAACAAGACGGATCTTTACGTCTCTGTGTGGACTACAGGAAACTAAACTTAAAAGCTTTAAAAGATGCATACCCAATCCCAAGGATAGATGAGAGCTTAGATGCTCTTAATTGTGCTAAATGGTTCTCGTCCATAGATTTATAACTTTCAGGATATCACCAGGTGGCAGTAGCGAAGAGCGATTGTTACAAAACAAGTTTTACTACACCATTTGGATTGTACGAGTATGCCAGAATGCTGTTCGGCTTATGCAATGCACCCGGAACACTCATGACTCATGCAGTCATGTTCAATAGACCAATTATTTAGAAGTACACTTTGCTATTCTGACGATGTGCTGGTGTATTCGAAGACTTTAGAAGACCACATTGAGCATCTTCGTGTTTTGTTTTAACGGACTTCGACGTTACGGTTTAAAGATCAAACTAAGTAAGTGTGAACTGTTTAAAAGCGAAGTTAAGTATTTAGGCCACGTCGTTACTAAAGAAGGTGTGAAAGCAGATCCAGAGAAGGTACAGGTGGTGAGAGACTGGCCAGTGCCAACAAAAGCCAAGCAACTGCGGTCTTTCTTAGGTTTTTGTTCATTCTACAGGAAGTTTGTGCCGGTGTTCTCACAAATAGCTAAGCCTCTGCATGAGTTAATATCTAGTTGCTTACAGGCTGAGAACCTGAAAAAGTGTTTATTCATATTGGAGGATGTACACCAGGCGGCCTTCGACACATTGAAGGAGAACTATGTTCTGAGCCTGTGCTGGCATACTCTGATTTTTCCATACCATTTGTCAATGAGTTAAAGATAGATGCATCATTTAAAGGGCTATCAGGGGCGGATTTAGGGGGGGGGGGGGCGCCTGCGACCCCCCCCCCTTATATCACAAAAAAATGAGATAATTGAATGGATACACGATTCATAGCTACAAAGACAGTTTAAGCGCAGATGCACCAGCATGGAAACCTTTGTGCAGTCAATCGCTCTCTATCGAGGTCAGCAGGTATGTGCTGTCAGACAACACCATGCACAGTGACCGCAGTACATTGATATGTGTGTAGTAGGGTGTATTTTTGTATATTTTTTAGTTAATCTTACGTACCTTTAAATATATTCTATATTATTTATTTATATTAATCCACTATCCCGTATTTCATATCATACAG